CAGCGCAGGAGGAGAAGACCCTCTATGAGGTGGATTGATTTGGTGACCAGGGTAATCAGGATGGGTGTATCAGAGACAGTGCGATTGGCACAGGACAGGGCAGATTTTAGGGCTGTTGTACATAGGGTCGCTATGAGTCCCAAGCGACTCGACAGCATGTAACAACAACAGCAACAACAAATTTTTATGGGGATAGATTATCTATCTTTCTCTTGCCAAGCAGTGATTGCTTAAATTCAGTCACTCTAGTATGTGATTTGAACAAATTGATGAACCTCTTGGTGCCTTTTCTTTCTATTGCAGAGTTAATGTGAGAACTAAATGCAGCAATATGTCTTAGAAATATGTAGGGAGCACAGTGATTTTTTTGATGCCATCGACAGTTACTGGGTTTCCCTCCCCACTTTTTATTGTCATTTTTGTGAAAGTTTACAGAGTAACTAGATTTTCCATTCAACAATTCATATGTATTATGTTTCATGACATCAATTACAGTCCCTACAGTGAATTACTGTCAACAGATTGCCAAATCAAGGATTCTTAGAACTGGGATATTTTGAGGTTTCAAAATACCAAAAGCCTCCAAAAGGTCTTTATTTCAGTTCCTTCAATTTTCAGGAGGTAATGTAGAAACAGTGTTTGGGTTAAGAATAACTTTTGCTCCTAAATCTGTCTTTGAGTTTGTTGTAAATCAGGACAGTTAGGCATCGTTTGTATCTTTAGCCAAATGTTTGTCTTTATATATATATATATATATATGTGTGTGTGTGTGTGTATAACTAGTTTATGTACAAAAATTAAAGAAATGTTTCCAAATATATGAAACATCTTTACAATAGCAATGCAGTGATAAGAATAATGGTTTAAGTATATTGCAAAGTAGCTACTATGTCTTTGTTATAATGAGTATCTTGATTTTTAAATATAATAGGCTTTATGGGGCTTTATAATAGGCTTTATGAGGTTGGTTCATAACTAAGGATTGCATATAAATCATAAATCAGAGTTCTGTAATCCAGGAGCTCCCTAAAGTATGGTTCTTTGTAACCAACCCACACTAGTTTACTCAGACATGCACCAAACACAAGTCCTCCATGCTTACCAAGCTGGTGGCAGTAGGAATGGAAAGAAAAGAACAGAGATTATATAGAAAACAGAAGTGCCAGGTAGACAAGACCACTGGAGTTTTTGTTCATTTGCTAGCTGGGGCTCTGTTTCAAGAACTGTATATGTATTAATACACTTAAGTATCATAATAACCCTGCCATGAGGAGGGGCACAGAAGGATCAACCCAACTTCTGTTTACCTTGTCCTCTTCTGCTGGTCCACAGGAATTAGTCCTTTCTACACCCCCTCCCTTTCCCTCCCCGTACCCATATTCTTGACATAGTCAAGTTCATATCCTCCTCTGCAATTTACTACCTCTGAAACCCTGCTTGGGGCGAAGGGCAGCCATGAGTTGGTTTCTGATTCAATGGTACCCAACAACAAAGTGGCACACAGAACCACATACATCAGTTTCAGAATGTACATACAGCCATCGAGTCGAGCATGACTCATAGCGACCCTATGAACAAAAGGCCCAAGGCCTTTCTATAACTATGAACATTTATCAAAGTTTATTGAGTTTCCAAAGGTGCTCACTTCTCTAATAGTTAGAGTCCCTACTGTTAGAGTCCCTACTGTTAGT